CACTCCAGTTTGTCGGTATCGCGACCGGAGCGGATGGCATTCAGCGAGTCGAGAGTGATCGGAGCCATGAGAGCTTCAAGCGGGGGGTTCGACCACGCATCCTTCGCGCCTGCCTGTTGCTGTTGCGTCGCCACGGTGCTCCCATGCGCGTGCGACGATCCGGTAGCGGAGGCGGTCGCCATTTGCGCTGCACTGTGGTGCGCCGATATGACTCCGCCTACGTTAGCCAACGGGGCACCTCCTGCGGAGGCGGCGTTGGCTGATGTTATGTTGTGTGGGCTCAGGTCCGTGCCGGTGGCGACAGCCTGAGGCTTGCGATAGGGCTCGTAGCGCACATGGGTGTGTGCGCGAGGCGCATCTGGATGGACACAGGTCAGGCGTCGTACTCGTCGTGAGATAGAAAATGTTTGCGTACCTTGTGCGTGATTTATCGTCGCTGATCCCGACACCTGAGCCATCTCCGAGCCCAATAGTTCACGCCATAGAGGGTCATCACAATCAATGTTCTCCTACCAGTTGTCCTGCGCGCTGACATCTCCAGTAACAGGTGGCAAGTTGGGAGAAAGTGCGTTCAGCGACGATGCCGGACTCGATGTGGCCGACGTCAGGGCCGGTGTCGAAGTTGTCGAAGGCGTATGGGAAGCCTGTGGTGGTCCGGCTGCATCGAACGTTGAAGGAGGTCCTTCGTTGGAGGCGTGGTTGGGGTTGAAAGCCGCGTCGTCCCCGCCGCGCTCGATGTGGTTCAGGACGTCGGTGTGAGGAGAGTCGGCGCTGGGCTCGGCATTGCCGGTGTTCGCCGCGCGCACGATACAGTCCAAGAAGGTGCTGGTAGTCATTGCGCCACCAAAGCTAAAGAATTCTTCGCGCAACGAATCAAAGGCGTTGGCCGGCTGGACATCGTCCACCTATTCCACCCCAGCGTCAGTCTCGAGGTGCGTCAAGGAGTGGGTGCCACACATACTTGGCCCATTTCGCCACCCACAACACCACGTTGCTCCGGCATGCCGTCCGTAATAGTGTTCATGTGCTATGGAATTTTTGTCAGATGTGGTTGTCGCGCCGTACAAACAATAACCTACGATATATTCTGCTCCCGTGTGTGCGGGGTAGATGCCCGAACCATCGCCGAGATGCTGCATTGTGTGATATTGAATCGATATAGAGCTAGGTTGAAGGCGAGAGGCTCGGAAGCGCAGTCGAAGATGTGCCCGCGTCCCCGGAGAAGGGAGGCGATGAGGGGAAGAGACGACTGCACTGAACGCCGTTCGAAAGACGAGGTCGGCTCTGATATTGGGTACGGGCAACGCCCCGCGAAGCGGGGGCGTTGGCCGTGCCCTGCGGCAATCCCCGAGACGAGCTC